CATTTGGCTATGTTTCACTACGTTCTGATAACAGGTTTAGTGTGTGACTAGCAGCATTTCAGCCTTAGAGCGAAGAGTAGTCTCACCACTCCTTTTCCGTCCATCTACATCAGACTCGCCCTACTAGTTAGGGACCTGTCCTCCTCAGAGATACTTTGATGACTCTTCATTCATCGAATGTATAACAGATGGACAAGAGGATTGGTGTTAAGCAACACAATAGTTTGGAAAAGAGACAAAACAGTGAGGCCTACCACAAAAAAGTTTTTTTTTCTTATGGAGGCTTTGATCCTTTTGAAAATAATCTATAAATATGTGGTACAATGAGCAATCCCGAGTGAAAATGAGACCTATTCTGGGTGAAGCTGGCCTTAGCTTGTTTCTCTACACTGGTTACTTTCCCGTTAGGAGTAGGACCATCTCATGAGCTGGACCATATGAGACCCCTAGTGTTTATTTTTGCATCCTGTTTTAATAATGTTGTTACAGAGCATGGAAACCGTTAATTCTGCTTTGAAGTAAAATCTGTTTCTCCACAAAACATTCATCTGCATCCAGAGTTTAAAACAATTCCTGATGCTCTGCTCCAGACCTCGGCCAGACACGGCTGCAATTCCACTTTCCTTCCTGCTGATCCCCTGAGATCCAAAGTCTCATCATGCTTTTCTCCTAGAAATTCAGCCCAAACCTTTCCGAATGCTTCTCTGAGTGAGAAAGGTCCGGTCGCCTGTTTCCCTCCACCGCAGAGAAAAGTGGAGGAGACTAATAAATATTTCAGGGCCACTGATGCGCATCCCGTGCCAGGAAGAATACGGTTATGAGGTGAGGGGGTCTAACCATCAGGAAGTGGAACATCCAAGGGGTCTCATGGTAAATACAGATATGTTCCTGCTTACTATTAAACAGGAAATGGATTTGTCAAATCATACTCATTAATTATTTATTTCACCACTTCAGATAATGTATTTATGGTGTCGTTTTTTATAGTAGGTCAGCTTTTACCCTAAATAGAAATCCATATCAGCTTTATTATTGTTTGCTCTCCCGTGAGCCAAACATGCATTAAGATTATATCTGCTTTAACTAAAACAACACTCCCATATAAAAATGAGCTTACGAAGGAAATTGGGTGGAACCTCTCGAGTATTCTAGCTTAATTGTTGAGTGTTTATAAGCAGAGAGTACCATTCCTGTACAGCAGCACTGGCTAATTGTTCACTATTGGAGGCACAATAGGCTTTTCAATATGGTTTAATTAACTGGATCAAATGGGTAAAGATAGACTGATGTAACAGTATGCATGATAAATGAGTGGATCGTGCCCTTTGGTGCATGGCTTTTCTAATACCATCTTACCCGCTAATACAGAGGATGACTCATAGTTACTGCAAGGGAGGGAAGGGGGTGGGTGGGATGGTGGCTGTTAGGAGGGAGCGCAGCAGAAGAAAGGAGACGTGACAAGAGTTGGTGGGATTTGGTGTGAAAAATTTTAATCAAGGGCAGACCTGAGAGTTACTGTACCCCACACAAGTGGAAAAATGAGTGGAGATGGAAAATCTTTCCATTGTTCGCTTCGACATGCAGTAATAAAATATATTTCTGATGACATCCAAGTGAAAATATGACATGCATTGTTTAACAAAGCTGGCCAATTATGTTTCTTTTTAACTGTATTTACTGAAAATATAATGCAAAAGCACAACAATAAGAAGGTTTTAATTCAAACCTTTTTTTGACACTGCAGCGTTCTTGTTTGAATTTCCTTCCTCTAGGTTTTCTAACAATGACTTTGATGGGGTTCTTTGGTGTTAAATTGGCTCACAGCATTTGTGCCCTTTTTAGTTTTTACCCTGTGGTAATGTCACGCTTCAGATGCAGGGGAAAAAAATCGTAACTCTGAACCTTTCGCTTTGAGCGTTGACATATTTCAAGTGGGAAATATGAGCTTCGTGCCAACTTTGCAAAACGAAAAATAAAATCTCTGCTTATTTGGAAAAAATTATAATGTATTTTCAAAGGAAAGAAAGCAATGCTCCACTCTTAATTGTACAGTGTTGACATTACTGAGTCAGGGTAGGATCCCCAAAACATAGACTTTGCAATTGTTTCATTATTCATAGGATGTGAAGTTGTGTTTATTTGTGAATTAATGCCTGAAACCAAAGAACAGAAGTTTGTATTTAAACTTTGCAGAGATGCTGGTGACCTAAACTTTAACTTGTTTTTTAATGCATGCTTAGAAAATTAGATTCAAACCTCACAAAGGGTAAAGATAGCTGCTGGGATGCAAAGCAGACACTCCTAAATCCAGAGGAAAACATTTATTGCAGCTCTCATTCTTTTCTTTCTTCTGTTTATAGCTGGCTGTTTTCCCAGTTTTGGACCATAGAGAAAGTGCTAATTGTTCACAGCTTAAGTCAAGCTGTAGGCACATTTGGAGCTACTTTAAAGATTTCAAGTGGTTTATCTTGAGATGTTCAGTGGAAGATCATTTTACCTTTCTCTTAATAACAAACTGGGCTGTGATATTCTGTTTTGGCTTTGGCAATAATTGAACTAACTTGACTTTAAAGAAAGTTTATACAACAGAAACCTTTATTAAAGTGTGTAAAGCTGCTTTACTTTAACTTTCGTTTTCTGCACAGATCCATTTGAGCAAATGTCAGCTCCTCCACAAGGGGTGAACTTTTTTGGGGGGGGGGATCTATCACTTTTTGAGTGAGATGTGTTGACACTTAGGAAAGAAGGAGAAATTAGGTAATTTTTGTACTATTTTGATCAAAAACGACCCTGTCCCTCTGATTATTTTCATCTTGACCAATCCAGGTTTTCTTTCCTATGGCTATAACAAATACAAACTGAAAAATATCCCAAATTCTCGATCACCATTTATGCCCAACAAATTCATGAAATGTTTTCTTAAAGCGTAAGTTTTGGCATATGATGCGTTATTTAAAGGATAAAAATACATTTAACTGAAAAGTTTTAGTATCTACGCCACCTGTCTGCAGTCAGAGCCATTTAAAAGGAAAACCTGCTAACTGCTCGCCGACTTCTTGGTGCAATAATAATTGAAATGTTTGGTAATGGGTAGTTCATTAGTTTAGGTTTTTGCTATTTATGGTCAACTTCCTCTACATGTATTGCATATTTAACAGAGCAATGACTTTCTCACTCTGTGACGTTAAAAATGTAAACAAATCTTTATCATATTAAATCTGAAACCTTTGTATTCAGTCCCTTTACTTTAATACCAGTATCAGAATCACCAGTAACTGAATTCTTTCATATATTATCTGTTTATAGAACAGAGCTCAATTGATTGATGTTAAATTTGACAACAATCAGATCCACAGCTTAGTGGGAAGAATCGGTTGACAGAACAACTGTTACTATACATATCCACTCTTCCACAAATGCCCAATTTCTGGAACAGTGGCCTTAAGAAAGCCACTTTGAAAAAAAAAAAGGCATGAGGAGTTATTTCTAGTTTGCCATAAGCTATGTAGGGATACAAGAAACAATAACTAGTGAAAGGGAAACTAGGCAGAGCAGACAGGATGATGGATGTAAATAAATTTGGCAAAATCCTGGAAGAAAACCTATTGGATGCTGTAAAAGACCATCTGGTAGGACAATATTGAAACATACAGAGGAAGGATTTAGATGGAAAACATCTTCAATATATAATGATCCAATCAAAACTCCAGACACATTTTCTATTCAGAATCTGCGGTATGACTTCTTAATTCACTTGAGCAAATAAACCAAAGAAGAATCAGTAAAATGATATAGTCTGTAGGGGCATTAAGTATAAATACTTAGCTACTGCATATATAGTATCTGATCTTTACATGAGAATTTATTTTTCGCAGGATTTTTTTACATTTACTTAATGTAATGGATGCAAATATCTGTACTTTCTACTCCTTGCTTTCTCAGAACTGACTGATTACTTCCCTACATACTAATAACATGATGTTACAGAGGTGACAAAACAGAAAAAAAATCAAGAGCACAAAGAGAATGGAACACAGTGAAAGCAATATGGATGAAGAAAATTATTTCAGGTGACAGACCAGATCAGAGATGCAAGACAACCCCCATCCATTTCCCCATTATTAGATTTTAAATTTACATGCTGATTATGATTTGGGTTCTATTTCAATTTTAATGTTATTTAAAACTTTAATGCTGTAATAAATACAAGGACTCTAAAAGCATTCAGCTGCTTATGTAGGACTACTGCTCAGTTCTATCTATATTTCCTATCTGGAATTTTAATTTAGTACAAAACTAGAAAGAGTCATTATTTTTATGTTTTTTCTACCAACCTTATGTGGGAAAGAGGAAAATTAACATATTTTATGTGCACAGAGTTGTTTCTTTTAAGAATAGAGTTAATATAAATTTTTTTATTTATACAAAAGTAAAACCTAATTTTAATAGCTGAATTTCAATTTAGAAGTAAAGATATTAAATCTGTATTTTTACTTTTACCAGCCTTTTTTACAAACATACAATTTGAAAGGAGGATGCAAATGCAACAAGAGGTACGTCTACAAAATATTGACTTTTAATGGCGATAGAATACAATAAAGCTTGTATTATGATAAAATGTATGTTCAAATGTGTGAATAATTTACAAGGCATATATCTAAAGTGGTTTCCTTCCTGTTTTAGACAAACCTTATTTTTAGCATGCTACATCCCTGTAGATTTATTTTGGATACCTTATAATCTTTGCGGTATAAAACATAGGCCTGAATTGTACAACCTCAGAATAATTGATTGGGACTATAAGGATGTTTCCCTAAATAATGATTCCTAAAACACCCCATATAGTGTCTACCAAGCATTAAGAGATCTGTTGGGACATGCTAATGAGAAGGTTATTTTGCTGAGAGGGCTGAAAATGATAGTTGCATGTATTGAGTTTGATGAGTTCAGTGCAGACGCATGTACAACAGTGGTGCAAACCATGAGAAATCATTACTTACTGTCCAAACACTGAGTGCAGATGGTCTGAGTGGCGCCACATTCCTTCACCACTCCCTCTCCAGGTGGACACTCCAAACAGCAATCCCCACTGTCGGTGAACTTGCCCGTGTCACAATCAACATTCAAAGCCCGTTCAGTCTTGGACCCCAGCACTAACGTTGCCTGGCACAGAGGGGACAGAGTTTCAGTCATTTATTATCACCCATAGGCAAATTTGCAGCACTGATGAAAATTACTGCCAGGTGGCCAACCTGTTGTTTAAATTCAACCGCTATCAGGGTTCACCCTGAATCATTAAGCCTCTCCCTAAATTGGATACACTTTGTACAAACGTGCTATCTAAACTGTCTTAATGGGTCCACTAAAGACATATCAGCTCTAATAATGAACCTGAAACAGTCAGGTTGGAGCAGGAACCATAAAGTCATGTGTGCACATTACACACATGCCCATCCTATTAAATGTCCAAAGGTGAAAGCTGCTTTTGATTAACCCTGGTGAACACAAACACTTTAACCTCTATATTTACTGGGAGTATAAGTTAAAAAAAATAAAAAATTCTCCTCATGTTTTAAACTCATTTTCATATATATGTAATATATTTTTAGATTGTGGTTGTTGAGTTTAATATATTCATTCCAACAGAAAATTTCTTTGAAACACTATTAACATTCAAATAATTGCATGCTTATTGATCTTATGCTCTTGTTTCTGCAAGTCATTTCTTGTTTCACACATGTTTACCACAGACCTACTGGCACAAGAACTGAAGCTTTTAAGAAAATTCATTAAAAGAAAAGAACTTGCAAGCGGTTGCTTTAGAACAAACACTAAATGAAATTATCCTGCACCACTTACATATCTGTGGCTTTTATTACATAATAGGTAAAACTTCATTTCCACTTAATTCACATTTGCTGAGACATCTTTTTTTCCCTGTCTTTCATTGGTCCCTCCCCTCCTCTCTCTGCTTTCATTCAGAAACAGATGAACCAAGCAACAGCATCTAGCTCTCCCCCCTCCTGCCTCTCATTTTTGCTCCTCTTGCTCAGTGTTTCCCTCTCTCAGTCCTTTCCTTTTCCTTATCATGCCCTATCGCCTCTCAGCTTGTTATCTCCAACAGTTCCACTTCTAGTCTCGGTTTTTATTTTACCATGAAAATAGGCAATGTATATGGCATCAAGTTTTCTCCTTTAACATCCACCTGCAATTTTATTCAGTTAAAAGCAAATTTAGGTCAAATTCAGGGACAGAAATTGGCCCTCCAGCAGCAGGAACCTGCATTAAGCCATGAAGCAACACAGCTGGGATGTGCTTGGTTTGTACTCTCCCCAATTTCATGGCCAATTTGTGAGTTTATTTCTAAATTTAATTCTACCAAAGTGCACAGACTGCTGACACTCTTTTGCACCAGCTGTCATAACAGAGAGTCCCCTCACGTCCAAGGCTGTTCACATGATGACTGAGCCTTGCCATCCAATTAGACCAGCTGTTGTGGACATACCAGAGAGCTGGGAGGATGTGCACCCCATTACATATGCCTCATTATGATCTTCCTTCATTAAACCTCAAGAAGATTTTGTGCACAACATAAAAAAAAAGCAAAATAGAACAATGTATGTCCGATGAAGGATTTGCTTTCCCCAAAGCACTGATCTAAAACTAAAATCCGTCGGATTTACAGTAAAAGGGAGACCCAAAATTTAAGTTAGGGCTGCTCCTGGATGTTTGGGTCTAGTCCAGCGTTTAATGCTGAATTTCCAATTCTCCAGAAATCCCAGCAACATTGTTTACGTTTGCTCCCCTGGATAAAACAGAGAGGCTGGAGCGCACACCAACAGATGAATATGATATTACCTTGGTGCAGAAACATTAAACTGCATGAGGCACCTGCAGGATTTGTCCTTAATTAACATCTGAGCAGGAAAACTTTTGCACAAAACTTTAATAAGTTTATCACTGCATCATGCATGCAGCATTTTATACCTGTATAACAGGAAGGAACATTTAATGCATGTTTTTATATATATATATAAATGCATACAAAAAAAGATAACAAAGTCCCGTTTGAAGTCAGGCAGGGAAAGCCAAGACTCACCAGCGCGCACAGAACCACCAGAGGAAAGGTAGCAGTCATCCTTCTTCGTGTGCGGGAGACACATGAAACAAATCTGGATCAGAAAAATGCGTTGCTATATAGAGGAAAGCCCTTCTGGAGAAATGTTCATCTTAATCCCAGAGGCACCGGTTATTTTTTTCTTTCTTCTTTTATTTATAGTTGCTTTGGTTTACTTATAATTACGCAGCGTCACTGGTCCGTCCGGGAAACCTCCGCACTGTGGAGTCAGATGAAAGTGTCTCTGCAGCCTCCCAGCGATGCCACTATCACTGTGACCAGCGCACACGCACAAAGTGGTTTAAAAGAGGAAGGTTAGTGGAGGAGGAGGAGGAGGAGAGTGGAGGTGGAGGAGACAGTCCTGTCCGAAGTGCTGCTCAGCTGCAAGTGCACTGCGGAGGAGCAGAGACAGAGGAGGAGAGAAAAGGAGGGAGTCACGTCCAGCCTCCAGGTTTATGACTCTGATGGTTCTGCAGTAGAACCTGATCCCTCATCCTCTGTGTTCTCACGTCAGCTCTGCCTCATTGCTACAGTGGCATAAACAAAGCCTGCATCTTTCTGACTTTAATATTCTCTTTTCATTAAAGCCCAACTCCGCCCCCCCTTTTTGTTTGCTTTTACTAGAGAAGATGTTTATGTTGCATCACGGAATATCGTTAAAGGGGAAGATCCTGTCTTGTTTGGAATAATTATGCACAGATTACTGAGAGGATCCAGGAGGTTAGAGGTCAAGGAGCAAGGGCTTCTTCAGTGAAGAAAAAAAAGAACAAAAAGCCTGGATTCGGGGTATTCATCTTCTTAGATCCACTTATTATATATATATATATATATATATATATATATATATATATATATATATATATAAAACTGCATGCTTTGAAGTGGGGAAAATTAAGTTTCTTCTTGTTTAAAGATTTCTGCTGGTTGACAACCAAAGCAGAAAATGTGTTATTATTCAATCCTCTTTTTTCTAATACCCATTATTGAAAGCCTATTCTCACTTACATTCAGATTCCATCTTGTTTGTAAATATAAAGTTTGTCTGTTTATTTTATTGTAAAGGTTTCAGGTTATGGAATCTTTCCAACAAAATACCGGTCAGGGTTATCGGAGATGTTTAAAGCAGAGTTAATAAAAACAAAACCATGAGATCTAAGCATCTTCTGTGGCACAATTCAATATATCATATAAAAAAAGGGAAAAGGGACTATCAAGAAATGGTTGTCCAACTTAAGACACAGAGAAGTCAAGGGGAACATTAATTAAGGAAGTGGCCAGTGGTGACCAAAATAAGGAGGCGCTGCAAAGATCCACTGCACAGGAGCAAGAATCTGTTCACAGTGTAATATTAACCATGCACTTTTCAAATTGTATGCAAGAGACTGAAAAATAAATGTTTTGTTAAACAAAAGCAATAAGACATTCAGTTTACTGTGTACAACAAGAAAGTGAGTTTACTGCAAACATGAGGAAGAAAATTTCAGGGGTCCCGTGTGTGAGTGGATGTGAGAGTGCTATTGATGCATCTCTTCCTGAGAGGATCTTGGTGGAGAACCTTGGTAGTCTACACAGGTGGAGCTTATCAGTCTCATCAGAGTGCTGGGCTTTAAAGAGCAGCAGAGCTTTCACTTAAAGCTGGTTTCTGGTTGTTTCTTCACTTTCTTGTCCATTGCATCCTTCAAGTTTTTTTTCCCTGAGCTTTATTGCTTTTTTTTTGGTTTTCAGTATTTTTGCATATTGGATTTTTGCCTTTGTTGCCCTTGGACTTCATTAAATCACCAAAACTCACCTCTGCCTACTCATCTCTGCATTTGGGTCCTCAAAGGCTCTACCAAACCTGACAGAAAGTCTGTTGTGCAGTTGAGTCAAAAATACATAATTTGGCTTATATTCAAAAACTGTATGTATGGCAGAAAGCTAATTCTAAACCTACCCCTGAACACACCATCCTACTGGGGATAGATTGATGTTGGCAGATTCATACTATGGGAATAATTTCCTTCAATAAGGACAACCAAGTTGGTCACATTTGATGGGAAAATTGGTCAAACTGAACACAGTTAAAACCTGTAAGAAATACTCTTACCTTTAGCTGGGATGGTAGTTCTTCCAGCTTTATAGTGACCCCCTAGCATACAGCCTGAGCTGAATTGGAATAGATAATATTCAAGTTAGAATGGCCTGCGCCTAAATAAAATACAGAATTCATGGGGAGACTTAAAAACTGGTGCTGACAGAGATTCTCCTTCCATTCAGTTTGAGCTTTATTAGACTGGTCCAAAGTTTCAGTCTGTCAATGTGCAAAGCAAGCAATGATATACCCTAAAAGACCTAGAACTGTGATAAAGGATACATTTGTATTAACCTGAGGTGATATACATGTGATTTTAATTTGTGAAGATTATGCAAACTTAATACCCTTACAATCAACTTCATTGTTCTTCACTACTTATGCTGGTCTATCACAAACAATACCAATAAATGCACTGAGGTTTGTGATTGAAATGTGACAAAAAAATTAAGAAGAACAAGGAAATTGTTAAGAAGGAGGAGATTCAAAAAGGTAATCGCTGTATAAAATGACTCACGGTTGACAATATTTTAAAAAATGCATAAAATAAAACAAATGTGACAACCAGAGCCGGCATGGGGAACATGTGACTGGAAACAATTAAAGTTAAACGTAATTAGCCTCAAAGAAGAGAAAAAAAATGTAAACTATCTAACAGCACTCCAGCAGATGCAAAATGACCACAAAGAGGCAGAGATCGTTCAAAATGAGACATAAAATGAGACTAAAACGGAACAACAACCAAAAAGAAAATCAGGCAGTGTCTGCGAAGAGAGATTTCCTCTTGATCACTGAGGATTGTGGTGCTTCTCTGCTGGACCTCATTATGTTAAAGCATGTTTCTAATGTTTTTGGATGTAAATGAGGGGTAGGGGGGCTTGTATTGGAAACACCTGTCCATTTAGAGGGCCTAAATATTGCCTTTTACAGAAATAGATGGACTCTACTGATTTTATTGATAGAACGTGTGCAGGTGTTCCTGATTTTAAGATTAGGAATTATGTATCTTCCTTTTTGCCATATACTGTCATTTTCTATCAGTCTGGCAAATTGTAAAATACATCTCCATGTGCCTGCAGGACCAGTATTAACCACAAGGGGTCAACTCAGCTAAGCTGTGACTCTCTGAAATCTTTCTCTGTTGTTGAAGCCAGGGGTATTGTGACAGAGCATCTTGTATCTGATTCTGGGTTTAATCTTTGAATTATACTAATTGTGCCACGTTGGTCAAATACTCTTGTTTTCAATCCAAAACAGAGATGCAGAACGTATGTCCCACAGTTTAAGGCTCTTTGGAAACCTTTTGCGGTTAATAAAAAAGAATACACACTTTAAAAAAATCTGCTTCATGTTTTTCTGTTTTTATTTTTGCTTGAAGATGAAACTTGGTGAAGGCAATCTAAAATCTCTTATCCCTGTTCACACAATTTAATTGATGTTAAATTGTCTTTTCACTCAAGGAAAAGCAAAGCTGATGAATATCGATCCAGGATATTGAGGTGATAAGGCAGCCGGTGTCCCCAGAAAACAGTTTCTACTTGCTCTAAAGCTCTCTTTATTTCTTCTCAAACAACCGTTCTGATGTTGACATTTCTTCGCCTGTCTTCACGCAGATTATCAGCTGATGGAACGACCTCCCTGGTGCAGCTGCAGGATGGTGATTAGGTTTCACTGTAGAGATCTGAAGTATTGATCCAGAGACACATCAATTTCCCACTGCCTCCATCCTTCTCTAAGATAATCTCTGACTAACCACCACTCTGATGACTTTGACTTTGCCATCAATATAGTTTTTTGTAGTAATATGAGAATTAAGTAAGGCATAAAGATTTCCCTTCAATCTATCAGTGTGATAGCCATAGAGGTATATATATTTATCACTCCCAGGAAATGTAACCAACCACAAGCCAAATATAGAAAACTGCCCTTAGAATATGAGGTCAATTAGTAGTGATACGGATGCATAGATATGTGCTGACAAAGCTCCAGGTGGGTAACATACACTTTCTCTGTACATATCACATTGCAGCAGTAAAACGGATTTGGAGAAAGGATATGTACAGAAACCAGAAAACAACCTGTATTAACTTCATGAGATTGATGTTGTTTCGCAGAGAAAGGAAATGTTTGTATTCAAAACTACATATGTACTTTATATATATATATAAATATATATATAT